AGACTCACCGTCTGCCATGGTTGTGGACAGGAGTGCTCCATTATGTTAAGATGAATGTTATCATACAGTTAATTTATAAATGCAGTGCAATCATAGTAAAACCCCAGTGTGTTTGTGTTTTGGTATAAATTGGTAAACTGATTCTGAAACTTCAATAGAGATGCAAAGGATGTAGAGTAGTCAAAGGAGTTTGAGTAAGAACAGCCATCTGGAAAATTTAAACTGCCTGGTTTGGAGACTTATTGTAAAGTTACAGAAATCAAGATGTAGTATTGGCAAAGGGTGTGTGATGTACAGCTGAATCCAACAGAACAGAGCGTCTAGAAATAGACTAGACATATTTAGTCAATTGAGTTTTGATGAAAACAATAAGGTGAAATGGTGATGGTTCAACTATCACCCCCAAACCTGGGCATCCTTAGAGAAAAATGTGAAACTTGACTCTTGTTTCATGCTATATTTTAAAAGTGAACCCTAAGTGGGGCATTATTTTATACCTTAATAGGAAAGAATAAAACTTGGGAAGAACATACTGAAAAAATCTTGTGACCTTGGAAAAGGCAGAGATATCTTTGATAAGATACAAATACACAAATCATAATCAAAAATTTAACTTGTAATCAGCAAAATCATACACTTTCTCTTCAGAATATACTGTTTTTAAAAATTTTTTTTGGTACCAGGGATCAAACTCGGGACCTTATGCTTGAGAGGCAGGTAGTGGAACCACTGAGCTAAATCCCTGGCCCCAGAATATACTCTTAAGAAAATGAAAAAGCAAGATAAAGAGTGGGAGAAAATATTCATTATAGGCATCTTACAAGATCTTGTATCCAGAATATATAAAGAACTTTTAAAACTCAGTACCATGGAGACACAGATACCATTTATACTGGCACTACTTTCCTAGAGTCTTAAGATGGCTTATTTTGTTGAACATAAATTATCCTTTAAACCTCATGAGGAAAAAATATTCCTTTCGATACTTCTGCTCCCACACAAGATGGAGTACCAGGAACTGAACTTACCCTCCTGCCTGAAACAACCAGAAAATTAAAAAATGAAAACCAGACAAAGATATGAAACAAGAGCTTTCAAATGTTGGATATAGGAGAGTGCAAAGAACATAGGTCCATAAAAAAGGGGAAATGATTGCATGAGTCCTAGGCTTACCTCAGATTACTCACTGATTTGATAAGTTTTCCAGGCTTCAGTGAAAGAAAGGGAACCTAGAAAAAGCCAGGCTGGCAGGTCAAGTTGAGGACAAGGAGCTGAGAGTCTGGAAAAACCAAGATGACTAGAGCTTGCAGTGCAGAGGAGAGGACAATACTGAATGAATTCTGGGGAAGTGTAAGAGTTACTCCTTGGGACTACCTCAGAACACTGATCAACACAGGCATGTGAGGAAATTACTTGAAGTATGGGAGAAAAAAATCCAAAAGACACTTGCATAAAGCCAGGAGTAATGCTGTGTCTACCAGCCAAACTGGAGAAACTCACAGCTCATGGGGCATTGGTAAAATTCACAGAAAGATCTTCCCTCTGTGGTGAGAATAGTATTAGATCGAGTGCTGTTCCAGATCCACCTAATAAATCATAAAAACAAGACCTGAAAGTGCCAACTGTTTCCACGTAACTTAATGTCAACCTCAAGTTATGCCAGGAAAGCTCCAGAATATTTATAGAATGTAAAAAAAAATGAAACGTGTCCAACAAAGTAAAATTCACAACGTCTGGCATCCAACTGCAGATTACCAGACATGTGAAGAAGTAGGAAGATATGGCCCATCATGAGGAGAATCTATTATCTGTCTATCTACCTGTCATCTATCTATCTCTATCAAAATTGACCCATAATTTGCATTGATGTTAGATTTAGCAGACATTAAATTGGGTTATTTATAATAACTATATTCCATATGTCAAAAAGTTAACATATGAAAGGTGTATAAATGACCCTAATTAAACTTCTAGAGATGAAAACTACAATGTATGAGATGAAAATACATTGGATTGGATAAACAAGATATTAGATGTTGCAGAAGAAAATATGAAAGAACTTGAAAACAAAGCAACAGAAACCATCCTAAATGAAACACTGAGATGGCATAACAACAACAACAACAACAACAACAACAACAACGCCAGAGCATCAGTGATTTGTGGGAAAAATTTGAGTGACATAACATGTGTAGTTGGATGCTCTAAAAATGAGGGTGACTGGAGACACCGGAAAGACATTTCTGGAAATAATGGCCCTAAGTTTTCCATTTTCTGTGAAAACTGTCAACCTGTAAATCCAAGCAGCTCAAAGAACCCCAGGACATGAATTGTAATGAAAACCAGATTAATGAACATTATAATCAAGTTAGTTAAAATCAATAAAGAGGAAGAGAGAAGAGGGAAAAACACATTACTCTGTGTACAGAAGTGTTGATGTAAGGATGGCAGCAGATTTCTCACTGGAAACTATGTCAGTGAGAAGACAGTGGAGTGGTGTCTTTAAATACTGAAAGAAAACACTTTCAACTCAGTATTCTATTCCCAAATAAAATATTTTTCAAATGACTTACAAATTCCTAAAAAATTTATCATCAGTACACAAGCACTATATGAAATGTTGAAAACAGTCCTTTGGGCAAAACAAAAATGACATCAGTTAGAAACATGGGTCAACCCAAAGGAATGAACACTAGAAATGGTAACAACACAGGTATATACAGAAGATATTTTCTTATTACTTCAGTCTCAGACAGATAGCTGGCTATTTGTACACAAAAATCAATGTGTTTTGGGGTTTATGAGATGTGTATGTGTATGATGAAACTATAGCATAGATGGGAAGAAATTGAAGTATATTTCTCATATGTTAAGTGGTATTAATTGAAAATGATAATCACTTGAAGGTGATAATATAATGAGATGTATGCTATGTACTTTCAAGTGATCATTAAAATACTTGGAGCTATAATTTGAAAACTATGTGTTGCTCTCCATTAGATTTCCTGTACCCCAGGTTTGAGGGAAATGAGGGGGAGCAGAGGTGGTCTCAGGCCAGGGCCAATGCCATTAAGAATGAAGACCCCTTGTTCTCTTCCAACATCTCCCTTGGGAGTTCTGTCCCAGGGCTGCTTTGATCCAGCTGGGGGCATGTTCTCCCATGGGCATCAGATTGTTATTCTAACTCAGCACAGTGCCCTAGTACATTGCCAGATAAAATACAGGATGCCCAGTTAAATTTGAATCTCAGAGAAACCATGAATAATTTTCTAGTATAAGTATGTCCCAGATGGGACCTTTTGAGACGTTATATGCTAAGTCTGGCAACCCCTGCCCTGGAAAATGTCCAGCACCTTCTCCCTCCCACTGCAGTGCTCAGGAACATGTCCTCTTGGGGGTTTTAACTTCACTATTTCCTGTGCCCTTTACCTTGGAGCTCAGCCATCACAGGAGTTTGGTGAGAATTCTCAGCATTAATTTCTTTCCTCAGAAAAGTTTCCAGGGGATGAGGTGGGTTAGGAATCACTCCTCCTTATACTAAACAAGACTCCCCTCCTTTCCCCTTGGCTGCCCTTTTCCGTGATCCTGATGTGAGGGGTTGTTGCTGGGGAATTTGCTCTTAGGAATTCGTTTCATCCATTGGGTATTGGAGGGGGAGGGGAGCCTGTGCTTCTTTGTTCCAGCGCCTTTTCCGGCAAGCGCCGCTGCTCATTGCTCATACGTTCACCAAGAACTCCTCAGGCACCCCCTTGTGCAGTGAGTGCCTGCCACTGAGGGAAATAGATGATCCAGCAATTATCACCCAAGGTGATGGGGCTGTCCCCGAGGCTAGTAGAGGATGTGCGAGTAACAGTTTATCTTGGCTGCCTGGGTGCGTGCCCTGTCTGCCCGACAGGTCCAGGGCTCCCAGGGCTGGGCTGTTGGGTACCTCTGGCCTCAGCGCAAGGGTGTTAATGTTTTCTGAGCAGATGAGTGAACAAGGCCCAAAGCGCACTAAGGCATCGCTGGGTCTTGTCAGGATGTGAGAGCACCAACCCTTCCGTTGCCTGTGCTATGATGCTGCGGTGGGGATGCAAAGACAAATGATCAATGAAAGCATTCAAAGGTGCAAAACATTTATTGGGCAATGGGGGCTGGGGGGCAAATGAGACCGGTTGTGTGAGGTGGGGAAGAAAGACAAGCAACCCGGCTGGGGCTGAGGGACTCGAGGGGACCCCAGGGAGCAGCAGGCAAGGGCACAGAGCCCTGAACACAGGGTTTGTCTGAGAGCGCCCATGGCCCCAGGGAGTGGGGGAGACAGATGAGGTGTTGCTTGGCGGGAGCAGGTTGCAGAGGGAGTGATGTGTGGTTCCGGGCTGGCTGGAGCACAGAGCTGGGGTCCTCCTGCTGCTGCCTCCTGCAAGGGACGTGGGCGGAACTGCTGGGAAGAGCCTGGCTCACACCACTCTATCCAGAGGCATCCATGTGTTGAGCAACTTAAAGCCAGCAGCGGCTCCTGGCTGGATGCCTGAGCCTGGGAGAGCTGGTGCTCCCATCTGCGTTTTGAGGTGAGAAAAGGAGAGGAGGAGGAGCCAGCACTCCATCCTCATGGCAACTTCTCTTGACCACGCTGGCTCTGCCCATCCTCTTCAGTGCCCGGTGCTGCTAAGTGGCTGTTCTATTTACAGACCTGCACTTTGCCTTTCTGTCCTGCGTAACTCCCAAGTCATCTGCGATGTTGTACGTGTGGCCCACTAGAAATGCAGCTTCAGAATCTTCTTGGTGTGGACATGGAAGAGCCTGTGCTCTTCTCTAAAGTGCTCCAGGGAGAGGGTGGAGAGGGCTGCCCCGCTCAGGACAAGGCCAGCCCTTGGAAGTGGCCTAGCAGGCACGTAGGCTTGTCACCTGGGAGCTCAAGGCCTCGTTTGGTGGATGTGTCCTCTTTGGGACCTTCAGCGCTGGGTTCTGTGCTGGACAGTGAGGACGTGGAGCCGGCGACATCTCTGGCCTTTGTTCCCCAGGAGTGCACAGTCTATAAGAGGATGCCGCGGAAACGTGTGAAGCCAGCGCATGGCGGCACCATGATCCCACGTGTGCTGTGAGCGTGACCTGGAGTATGCACCCCATGCTTACCAGGTAGGTAGGATGCTCCACTCCCCTCTCGGAAGCTTCTCAGCCCCGGCAGGGCCAGGGCCGCTGCAGAGCCAGCCCTTCCTCACACCCTCCAGAGGGCTTCCTGCCCTAGTCCCGAAGGCCAAATCCAATCCTAGGACGAGGAGGGAGAATCTGAAATAATGTGCAGTGGGCTGGGGGCCTCCACAACACCCGTGCCCACCCAGAGCCCCAGATTGTGAGGTATCCTTTAGGAACACACAGATCTTGTTTAGAAATGTCAGGCAGCAGGAAATGAAGGCCCGAGATGAGGCCCTCTTGGGTTATGGTGGGGCCTAAACCCAAGGACCGGTGTCCTAAGGAGACAGAAAAGGACCCAAAGGGAAGCCCATGAGAAGACAGAGGCAGAGACGGAGGTGATGCTGCCAGAAACCAAGGAGGTCCTGGGCCCAGCAGCTGGAAGGGGCCAGGCAGGGCCCTCCCCTGGGGCTCAGCAGGGAGCCCGGCTCCGCCGCGGCTTGGTTTTAGACATGGCACCTGAGCCTCCAGTGCACACCATAACACGTCTACAAACAGCCACCAACCCCGAGCAGAGTTTAAACCGTGCTTCCCTCGCCTCTGGGCCATGGGCAAAGTGGGCGGCAACAGGGAGTGGCAGAGCTTCCTTTCCACCCGGTGCCCAGCTCTTCTCTCCTGCTGTCCCTGCCCGGGCCCTCTGTGCGGCCCTGCTGGCCTTAGCTCCTTTGGGGGCAGGTTGATGTTCTGAGTGCTGAGAAGGACAGACAGCCATCACTGCACTCACGGTCACCCAATGGGAGGTCACTGAGAGCCTGCTGGTCCCCAGGCCACCTTCCTGCAGAGATGCTGGAGACGAGTGATCCACTGAGGGCAACTCAGAGGCACAGTGGTGACTCCCGGACTGCAACAGTGGGAAACCCAACCCCCCTGACTGCTCAGGTGATGTGTGGGTCACGTCACTGACCCGAGGACCTTCCTCGCCTGCAAACTAAGAAATAAGGCATCTTTGAGAGTCCTCAGGGAGAACTAAAGGACACGGGGGCAGGAAAGCTTTTATGTCACAAACAGAAAAACAACAAAGGGATGGGGCATCTTCACTATCGCCTGAGGGGGCTGCAAGTTGTCAAATGCCAGGCGGGGCCCGGGCAGGGTCCCCATTGCCCCATCTGCTCGGCCTCTGCCAGGCACCAGCTCTGTGGTGCCCATGCCACCCTGCACTGAGGGACCAGCTCCGGGGACGCTGTGCTTGTTGTCACCACCAAGGGTCAGGTCACCCTGGCCCTTGGGCTGCAGTTTGTCTGATGTTAGAGGGACTTGGGGAGAAGCTGCGCTGGTAATTTGGGAGTAGTTTGATTTGTGGGATTCGGGCCATTGAGCGAGCAAAGTCGTCGGTTCACACAACTGAATGCCACGGGTGGAGTCTTCTGAGGAGTGTGTCCTCCAGGAGGGCCGCCAAGGGGAGACAGCTGCTTTCAGGAGTCTGCAGTGGTCCCTCGTGGATCCAGGGGGCCTTCAGGCCCTGAAGCTGCCACCTGCTTTCCTTCCCCGCTCTGACACATCCGTGCTCCACAGCCGCCTGACAGCCAGGAGGTTCTGGATATGAAACAAAACAGAGCCCACAGAGGAATTTCCAACCCTGCTTTCCCCCAAGTTGGACAGGGCCGAGAGAAGCCAGCAGACATGGGCCAGGGCATGGGCAGGGGCTCCAAAACTCTTCTGCCATGAACAGCCGGTCCCTGGAAACTGGCTTGTCCTGTTCTTGTGGTCTGAATGCACAGCACTTTTGGGTCACCAGCCTGTCTTTGTCCTTCCTGTGGATATTGTCACTGAAGGAGGTGGCCATGTGTCAAGCCAGGTGCCACGCAAGGCTCCTCACATCTGGAGAGGCGGCTGTGCTTTGAGAGTCTGGGCTGGGCTGAGATGTCCACCTGCTTGACCACAAAATTCACACCTTCCTCAGGGCCACTTCTGTGAAGATCCACGGAGTACCAGTGCCACGGCACAGGAAGCCCGGGAGGGTTCTGCTGGGAAGGCTCCCTGGTGTTTGCTCTCCAGCTGGACAGCGGATGCTCTGTGTGGGGCTCTGTGCCACTCAATACAGTCACAGACACACACAGTGGGCGCCCAGCAAATGCTTGCTACATGGAGGAACAGATGCCTGGGTGTGAGGCCTGTCACGTGACAGCCAGCAGCTCCGCAGTGGCCAAATGGGTGTGATCATCTCGGCACAGGAGGACTCCAGGACCCCTTGGAGGGACTGAGGCTGTGTTTCCGCTCCCACCCACAGGTGCACGTCACCTCTCTGAGCACTCATCTGGCCCCGTGCTAAGCCCTGTGCATTCATCATTTCTTTAATCTGCACGAAAGCCTCAGGGTCTTGGTCCTGTCTCAACTCTTGCTCTGTGGATGGAGAAACCAAGGCACGGGGAAGCGAAATACTCTGCTGTGGTCCTGGTGCTCCTTGGGGTGCAGGTCCTGACAGCACAGACCCAGCAAGGGGTCCAAGCCAGGACCCCAAGTGCAAGCTCTGCACCCCCCACCGCCTGCAGGGATGGAGGCACCAGAGGGTCCTCTAGGGCGGTGGCCTTGGAGACGGAAGTCAGAAGCAAGGACCATGCTCCCTCTCCTGGGACCAGGAGCCCTGAGCTTGCTGCAGGAGGCTCTCAGGTTGCAAATGAGCTGCAAAGAGGACAAAAGAAGAATGGTGTCCAAGGGACCTCCAGGGACAGCAGAGGACGAGGTGAAATGGAAAAACGGCTGACTTCAGACCCTCACTGATTTGGGCTCATCCCTAAACCTCTTTGAGGTTCAATTTACTTATTTGCAAGTCAGGAATACAAATCCAGTCATCCCTCCCTTATCTGCAGTTTCCCTCTCCAATGTTTCAGTTTCCTGCAGTCCACAGTGATCTGAAAATACTGAGTGGAAAATCACAAAAGTGAACAGTTGGCAAGTTTTTAATTGGCCAGCATTCTGAGTAGCGTGATAAACTCTTGTGTCTTCCTGCCATGTCCCACCCTGGATGTGAATCATCTTTTCTCCATTGCATGCATTCGGTGTGCACCATCCACACTCTCCCTTAGTCACTCGAGAATCGTCTTGGTTATGAGATTTAGTGGAGAGAGAGAACGAGAGAGAGAGAAACAGAGAGAGAGCACATTTGTATAACTTTTGTCACAGTCTGTTGTTCCTGTTGTTCTGCCTTATTGTGAGTGGCTGGTGCTAGTCTCTTACTGCTTCCAACTTATAGATAACCTTTTTTATTCATACGTGTTTGCGGTATGTGATGATTTCATTTATCTTAGCGTGGGGGCATGTACTTAACAGGTTTTGATTGTTTTTATTCCTTGTCCCTCCCCACCCATCACCCCCCCTCCATCTCCAGATCCTCTTTCCCCATTTTCATTTATTATTATTACTCTTATTTTTTTTTTTTTTAGTTCATGTTTGTGACATATACAGATTAAATTCATTGTGGGTACATGGTACATGTCCTTGACACATCTGAAATCTTTTCACAAACACTTCTCCCACCCTCTGTGTCTCGGTCTCTTTCCCATTTGCAAAAGCTCTATCTTCCTGTTATCTTTTATCAATCTTTTATTTTGCTCTTTATTTGCATTTTGGATTACTCAAATGAGGGAAACCATTCAGTATTAAGCTTATGTGTCCGATTTATTTCACTTAAGATTATGTTTTCAAGATGTGTCCATTTTCCTACATACGTCCTAGATTTATCCTTCTTTCTAGCCAAGTAGTACAGGTGTGTGAAGGCAGGAATGTGGTGTATACAGGATTTGTTATTATCTGTGGGTTCAGGCGTCCACTGGGAGTCTTGGATCAGGGTACCCCTGGACTTAGACTGTGTGGTTCTCTCTGACTGCCCCCAGGATTGGCATAATGGTCTGAGGAAGCTGCATGTGCTCTCATGCACCTGGACCTACTAGTCAGCCAAGGTGCTTCCTGTCACTGAGGGGCTGCCATGTAATGGACATTTCTCCTACGCTCACTGCCACCTGGGAAGGAGGCATAGGTGACTCCGTTTTACAGGTGGGGGAAACAGAGGTTTCACACATTGCAAGGAAAAGGACATGACATGCTCCAGGGCACACATCCAGTGGCAGTGTTGGCTTGTGAATCCAGCCACACCATCAGGACCAGCCCTTCTCTGCCGTGCTGCTCCAGCTGCCCGTCTTGTTTTGCTGGTTTCGAAAATGCTTTGAAAAGATATACTGCGCTGATTAAGAGTTTTCATCAGCTGGGATTTTTTCCCCTCTTTCTGGGTGGTTGTTACTTTGCATGAGAAAAAAATGAAAAGAATTTAATTCATCATTAAGTGCTGGGAAAGAACCCGGCGACCAGACCAGGAGCTACAGGCAGACAGCAGCAGAAGCTGAGGCGCCACTGGTAGTGCCCGCGAGTGGGGTAATTGGGGCGTGGGGATCTTGAGGTGGCTCTGTGCCCTCGGGAGTCCGGAGGGTCCCTGAGGGTCTTCCTGGCCTGCTCACGGTTCTTCAGCAGGGCAAAGGTTGTTGTGCAGAAACTTCTGAGCCCGGCAGCTTGGGGCTCCGTACCACCTTTACCTGCGCCTCCATCCACCTCTCACCTGGCTCGCTGCTGTTCTTGCTGTTGTTCCTAAGTGTTTGGAACACACAGTAAGCACATTCATCGCGGGGAATCTGCAAACACTCATCATGTCTGGGGCCTCAGTTCCCCTTCTCACCCCACTGATCAATATACAGATCCCAAGTATTGATTTACCCTGCAGACTTGTCTGTGGGTTCCCCACCTCCAACACTGAGCTTTGTTACTGCTTTTGTTACTTTTTAATGTTTTATTTTTAATTGACACATAGTAACTCTAGATAGTATGTTTCTGTACTTGCGCACATGGAGTCATTGCCTTCTTGCATCTTGATGGAGGAACAGTCAAAATCTTCCAGTTATTTTGAAATACATAGGGTATATTTTTTGTTACTTACACCATCCCCACACATCGTGAATTAC